ATATTGATTGCCATTGACAATGTGAAACCCATCAGCAGTTTAATCCATTTTACCAAGGCATTTGATGAAATAGATGATAAACAGCTTTTGAAAATAGTTTGACTAGTTTGCTGAAAGGGGCTTGTGCTCAGTGTATGTTGCCTTACAAAGGTGCTATATCTATAACGCAGTATGTTATTTCATCACAAAGCTTTTCCTTTTATTATCAGGAGAATGAATCTCTAAGGTAAGCTTCACTGACTTTAACAATATGTGCTAAGGAAAGATTCCCATGGCAATAGGAAAGAAAACTCTCATTTTTTAGGAATAAAGTTAGAACTTTTCTGGCAAATATGCCTTGCCTTTGAGAGAATTTTCACCGAATCACTGAGCTAACCTGATGCAAGACTCTAGTGGAGACACAGCATGGGGGTTTTCACCTCCCAAGTATGGCACTTTCTACTTCAGTTTACAGGTCCTGTGTCTACTTCTTGTCTGCCTTGACCAGTCCCACCAGAAAATGGAAGGAAAAAACCAAACCCCAGTGTAATAAAGCAGTAACACTAGACAGAAGAGGAACTGTCTTTTCTTCTCTGTAAGTTTCTATTAATTAACACAAATGCAGTATTTTATCCTGTTAGAATTGTTTCAGTCCAAATAGAATTCCTGCTTATGCTTATTATGCAAGTCGGCACTGATCTTTCTTATGGGGTTTGGCTTCATTTGTTTGCTATCTGAGTATGGTCTGCAATTGGCCTGTTTTGAATCTGAGCCATGAAACTGATTCATGTCCAGCAGATCTGGAGCTGCCAGGCCACACTTGTAACAATACCTCGCTATACCTCAGGAAACAGAACGCAGATGTGGGCAGGGCATAACAGAATTTGGTTTGAAAATGAATTTTAATTTTTTCTCCTTCAGTATTTTCTCTGTGTCCTTGTTCATCATATCACTTAAAGAATGTATTTTACTGACACTCCAACAGTTTTCTCTCAACTTGATTTTAACATCATAAAGACTGCAGATGCTCTTGATTGTGTTCATTTTATCTGAGAACTGCCCATATAATAAAATGTGGTTGCTCTTACCAGTGGTTCCTATAATTGCAAGCATCTGACCACTTCTCACTTTTAGACTCAGATTTTGGATTACTGTCACATGGGAACGAGGATCTGATTTCCAGGTCCAGGGCATTTTCATCTGAGCAAGGTTCTCATACCAGGGAATCTGGGATGCTGTGTTAACCTAACAAAGAAGGAAACAAGTCCCTTCAATTCAAGCAAGAAATTATTTAACAACAAATACCTTCAAAGTTACAATGTTACAAGCAAATCATATATTAAAATATTGTTCATCTTCAGAAATACCTAGATGGAAGTTCTTTTGCAGCCACCTATGCTTTCATGCCTTTCTTCTTCTGTTAATCACTGAAAAACTCTCTGTGTCCTTTGTTACTTATTGTTAATTTTAAATGTTTCAAACTTTAGATATAATTAGAAATTCAAGGAAACTGAAAATTGTGAAATCTTATTCAGATGCCATGGTGAGGAGGAGATGAAATATTTCACTGGTTCATTGAAATCCTCTTTGTTAGTCATCTCTTTATCCCCTTCCACATACTCGTTCTTGCCAGCAAGGGCTCCTTTCATCCTTAGCTGAATAAAAAGCCCCTGTGCTCCAGCTCTCAGAGGATTCATTTTGCTCAAGACTGAAACAAAGCAGGGCCTAGAAACAGGTCTCTATTCCTGTCTTATCCCTTAAATTTACTAGATATATTTACAATACAGGGGTGAGTCTGCTGTCAATATTGCAGACAAGAGTGTGATTCTGCTCACAAAACTGACCGTGCAACAGTTTCGTGATCTTTATCAACTTTATTTGGCATTTTAAATGGTCTGGGTATAGAAACAGGCATTGCTGGATATGTTTCCTGCTGAAAAGAGGTGTATAAATGACTATTTTTACCTGGTAGTTGAGTTCTTTGACCTCCAGAACATTTGATTTTCCACTGTATGCAAAATAAAGACTGTTATCTTCTTCAGGGTGAAAAATACTATCCCGGGTCTTGGTCTGGAAAAGTTGTTAGGTGGATTACAACAGTTAATTACAATAACTAAAGTGATGCTAAAGTCTGAGTTCAGAAAAGATGAAGCACAAAGGGAAATGTATTTATGGGATGTAGCAGTATTATTGATGAGTTACTGTAGTTCAAAAGTCTGAAGAGTTGAAATAAGTTATCAGTTCACACTCACTCAGTGTAAAAAGTACTTTGTTCTAGTGACATGTATGAGGGCCAAACATGCTGTACTGTGCTCTTCTAGTTGCTTTCAGATTAAAAGGGAAAACTTTGAAAATGGAGATAAATGTCATGTCACTACAAAGAGATTAGACTTTTTTTGAGGAAAAAAGATGTACTACTTCAGCAGTATTAGTCTACTGCATCAAAATGGTGCATATTATTGAATAATTCAGTATTAGTCTACTGAATCAAAATCAATATTGCAATTGATGCATTTTGGCAGCTAAAAATGAAGGTTCACTGGAAGCATGTCCATTATTGAATTGCACACGGACTTGCCTCCTTGGAGGCTTTATGAACAAATAAAACACAGCCACTAGTGCAGTCTCTTTCTTCTCTTTTGTTTTTTAAATTCACCATTTATCAGCTGGAACTTAATGTTCTGAGATATCAGTTAAAATAACAAGAGCCTACTTGGCCCTTTTGCATAGAGCTGCAATGACAAAGTCCTAGCTTTGGGTTGAGCTGTGTGTGCATGCCTGCAGTCTTCCTTCCAGCCAGCCATGTCTCTCCCACAGCTCTGTGGTTTTCCTGCTTATCAGACTCCAACCCTAGCCAAGGCAAATGTACCTGTTCCCTGTGTACAGACCCTGCCCATGCCTGTGGTGTCTTTGACAGAGGATGACCATGATCTTTGCGTGCACCTCCTGCCCTTGCAGCAAACAAGGCTGATTTCTGATTTTTTTTTTCAGTAGAAATCAACATCACACCAAGCAGCTGGAGAAGCCACAGGAAAGCCTTCCAAACTACCCCTACTGCCAAAGCACTCTGAGCCCTTCCTTATGCTGAACCTAATTTTTGAAAACAGGTGCTCCCCAGCAAACGGATCCAGACTGAGGCTTTCCTGGGAAAGCCAGTCTAGGATACACTCCCATGCACACATTTGGAGATCCTCTCTCAGCTCCACCACGGTGGCACCTGAGCAGGGCTTGCATGGCACCAGCCTCATGCCCAGTGTGCTGCGGTGGGCGATGTGCCTGCTTTGGGCTCACGGTTCGGAGCTGGAGCACCTCGGGGCTCACTGGCCGTGCCAGCCCGCTGCCAGGATGGATGGATGCCCGCCTCTCCCTGATCCCGGCAGGATGGATGGCTGCATGCCTCTCCCCGCTCCTGGCAGGATGGCTGCCTGCCTCTCCCTGATCCCGGCAGGATGGGTGCCTGCCTCTCCCTGATCCCGGCAGGATGGCTGCCTGCCTCTCCCCGCTCCTGGCAGG